CAGAGAATAAAAATGAACTTTTATTAGTATATTTTAAAATGGGTTACCCAAAAATAATCAGAATGAAAGAAGCCAGACCAAAGGAATATTACATGACACTACCTCCTATAGTAAATTGTTGAAAATGCAAAATAATCCATTACAACAGAAAGTAGAGGGCTGGACTGATGTGGAAAAGGGGCAGAAAAGAATAGGGGGAAGAAATTATAAAGGAGTCTGAGGAAACTGTGCATGGTGGGCTATGGTATCTCGAGTATGATAATTACCAGTTCCACAGGCATACATATGTTGAACTTATTTTAGCTGAGTGTGGTAGTACACAGCTACAATCCTTGCTCTCAGAAGGCTGAGGCAGGAAGATTGCCACAAGTTCAGTCAATCCTGAACTACACAGTAAGCTCTCTCAAAAAGCCAAAAACAGGGCCAGGGATACAACTTAGCAGCATAGGGCCAGGGAGATGGCTCAGTAGAATAAGTGCTTCCCTGGAAAGTGCAAGGGTCTGCGTTCAATCCCCAGTACCAAAAAAAAAAAAAAAAAAAAAAAAAAAAAAAAAAAAAAAACCTTAGCAGCATAACACCTGCTAGACAAGCACAAGGTCCTGAGTTCAATCCTAGTCAAAAGAAAACTACACCATTAAATGTTATTCTTCACAAAGTACAATTTATTATATCTTAAAATGACTGAACAGCCTAACAGCTACATTTTTACATCTTGATATCATAATATCTTAACTTTTATTTTCTACATCAGAATACCCTTTAAAAAGACTTTAAGGTGCCATAGACTGTGATCCCAGCACTGTAGAGGTTGGATGAAGAGGGTCACAAGTTGGAAACCAGCCTAGGCTACACAGCAAGAAATTAGAGAGAGAGAGAGAGAGAGAGAGAGAGAGAGAGAGAGACAGACAGAGAGAACCTTAAACACCACTGTCCTACAGAATTTATTGTGGAAAAAATGCAAAGGAGAGCACCAAGATGGTGGAATGGTAAGCAGCAGAGAAAGAGTTTCTGTGAGAGTCACCATCCAGGCACTCACTCCTGTACAGAAACATAGAAAGGTCAAGGAAAACAGATCCTTTGGAAGGATCTGAACCAAGAATTGAAGGCCACAGAGAATGAAAAGAGAAACGTCAATGAAGAATGAGGTAGCTAGTGGCACCTTTTCCCTGAGGTGGGACTCACTGTGTACGAGGAACAGCTCAAAGTGCTGGAGACCCCAGAGGCCTCCACAAAGAGATGCAGCAGTGGACATAAGTAGCAGACATCGAGAACTACATTAGCTGGCATGAGTGCTGAGGGCTCAGTAGTCCCATGGGAGAGAGTGATTGATTGGGAGCCATATGGGAGAGGGGCCCAATGAGCTCAGAGCTAAAGATCTAAATATTATGACAGAAACATTAAATCTGTTAAAAGACAGAACAGGTAAAACTCTTGAAGATACTGATATAGGCCAAGATTTTATGCGGGGAAAAAAAAAACCTAACTGCACTACAACTATCACAAAGAATCAACACCTGGAAATCCATCTTATTAAAAAGCTTTTACACAGCAAGAGAAACCATTAACAGACTGAAGACACCACCCACAATGTAGGAAAAAATGCTTGTAAGCTGTTCCTCAGATAAAGGATTACTATTGAGAACTTATAAAGAACTTTAAAAACTGAGGCCTCCCAAATTTATTAAGACCCAATCCAAAAATGGGCATCTGAGATCAATACACACTCCTAAGATGAATACATAGCACAAATAAATATATGAAAAAAATTTTAACATCACTAGTCACTGGAGCAATGCAAATTATAACAACACTGAGATTCCATCTCACCCTGGAAAGAATGGCTACCATCAAGCAATTAACTAATAACAAATGCTGGAAGAGCTGTGGGGAAAAAGGAACCCTCCTTCCCCACAGCTGGTGTGAGTACAGATTGGTACAACCACTGTGGAAGTCAGTACAGAGATTCCTCAAAAAACTAAGTTTAGAGGTCCCATTTGACCCACCTATTCCCCTTCT